TTGCTTCCTCCAGAGATCTCAATGTCACTCTTTCTGCCTCAACTGTCCCCCACACAGCATATCACTAACCTGTCTTTTTGTAAGGGTGTGCCTTGAGGAAAGAACAGTCATGCATCTCTATTAGAAAAACACCATCGGATATGTTAATTAGTTATCTTTCAGCTTCTGTCACAAATGCAGAATTGCTTGACATTAAGCTTGAAATGCTGGTATCTGAAATACTGGCTTTAAAGCACAGGCTATATTTGAATGTGTGCATACATATATATGCATTTATATGTCCATGTACAGATGTATACATATATATACATGTACATACATACACGGCTGTATACACACACATTTACACAAACACCTGTATTACTTGCAATGGCCTTGATGGCTGCTTTCAGAACAGATACGCTTTCAGATATCTGTTTTTATTATGCTTTTGAATAACATAGAAATATATCAAATTTTGTTACAACCTATTTGAAGCAAACAGCTCCTTCACATACAAATTCCTTGTTTCCTCTGGACTGCTTTAGTTACTGATATAAGTTATCTGAAACTTTGGGATGCATATATTTAAAGTCTACGTAATTTCATGTGTGAGAGATGTTAACTGTTTAATACAAAACAGAAAGCACTCAAATATTGTAACGATGAGCACTAGCAATATAAGAACCTACACCAACTAGCACTAGCTATGTCTATCAGTACACTCAGACTGTTTCTTCTGCAGGATACAACAGCATAAACCTGAAGCTCACATGTAACTTTAGCAGAATTTATATTAATATAATAGAACTATCACAGACTATGATAATCTTCTGCTTATGATAAGCAGAAAAATGCACACATGTATAATGACTGATATTACTCCTGTGCTTTAAATGTGTTTTTAGAAGTAAAAATATTTTTAAAATTATTTTTTCTTAACCAAGATTCTGTCACAAAGTCTGTGCTTACTTGGATGACAAGTAATGCTGGATTTAATGTCAGAAAAAAATACTAGAATATGACATTGCTTTTTCAATGTGTATAAAGTGACATTGGCATGCTTAATAGCTATGTGAGAAAATAACTAGTAACCAAACTAATAAAACAATTTATTATCAGTCCCCTGAGGAAAGACAAACTATGAGGTGAATACAGCTAATTGAACAGGATCACAGCCTGAAGACTCCTACAATAATCAATGAATAGCATCTCATTTGGATAACTTGTAAACGGAGATGGTATTTTACAGAGTTTTTTTAAAGAGGTTCAAATATAATTCTGCAAAGAATTAGACTAAAAGCATGTTTGCTCCAAGCAGAATGTCCCATTTGTGTCTGTAGCTGGCTACTCAATTACTATTGTTTTCTTTCCCTTATGTACTGAGAGCCACTATGTACTGACAGCCACTAATTGCCTGCATCCAAATACCATGACTGAAGTCTACACTGCAGACACCTCAAATATTTAGCTTTGAAGATTAATGAACATCAGATTATATCCAGCCTTTAGGACAGGGACCAGGCTGGAAGTCAAAGAACTTTAAATTTGATTACACAAAAATTACCCAGCAAATTTATTGATTTGCTTCCAAGGCAAACAACAATCTTTGCAAGTACATATTTAACTTCACACTCCTAAGTAATCCATCCTAAGCATATATAGACAGTTTCCATGCACAAGTAATAAAAAATACACTATTGGGTGAGAGAACTGAAAAGAACTGGTCCAAGATATTTACATTTTAAAGGATGCACATATGAAAGTCTGCTAGACTAACTTCTCATTCTTGTAAATTCTCCTATCCTCCTGGCTGTACTATTAATCAATGCAGTTAATACAGACATGGTGATTTAAATTGGATGAACATATCATGTAAATGTTAGGCATCATTCACACACCTACCCAAATCCCCGTATTTGTATAGATACGTATGCATATTCCTATGTGTATATATTAATGCACACAAACATGACCATGTGTATCTATTCCTGTATATATCCCCATCTGAAGTGGGCATCTGACTCATTCAGTTCACAAACACATTAGGTTACAGCATTATAAATAACTGAACAAAAAAAGACCATTTAATTTAAAAGCTATATCTACCTGTACTAATAACAAAAATAGTATGCTTAGAATTTTACTTGCCATGGCATTAATACTCATGCAATTTTGTACAATGCCAACTCAACATCTGCTCTTACACTTTTTGTGCAATCAGAACTTGTGATTTAATTTTTCACTGGCTGAAAATAAAAAGTGCATGGAATACATCTGCTATCTCTTTCTCAGCGGTCCCTCAAAGCAAATCCTACACTTACTCTTTCAGCTTCTTAATTCTTTCTCCTCTCTCTGTGGAAATAAAATATTTGCAAAAGACAGACCCTACAGATTCAGTAGAGCTTTACCCTGGGCAGTGAAAATGCACCTTGCTTTATCTCTCCTTACCAATGCTAATAAGAAACATCTCTTCTGGAATTTTCTAATATTTTACAGCAGAAAAAATGACATTTCCTCTCCTCTGCGCATCTCAAAGTGTATTTCCTAACTTTACTTACCTGCCTTTGTAATGGGCTTAAAGATGTTAAGTATTCAACAACTTTTGCTTAACACATCATAAAAGCAGGAAATGTTAATTTTTTAATTTTTTTTTTGGCAGTGGTTCAATAACAGTAGTGAGTCACCCAGATAGGGATGTTTGCTTTTATGGACCTTCTTATATTGGTTTTTTTTTTTAGTAACTGAAGGACCAAGTAAAAAGGTTACAAAAAATCCAGCAACTTCAATCATTTTATTCCAGATAAGCTAATTAAGCATTTTTCACTCAAAAGGAAAATTACTTGATTGTGACTAGCTGGGCTTTAAGCAAGTGCTATCTTATCTACTGAGAAACTGGATTTAGCTTAACTTTGATTCCTGGAACAATACTGGAATAAATATACAGTTAAACAGATTATTCTGAAGCATTTAGAGAAAATGTGAAAATCCAATGACAATACATCAAGAGTGAATGTCATCAAACCAACCTTCTATATATGTTAGTAAATTCTTTCTCTCTGTCATATAACTTTCTTGTAAAGCATTAAGGAAGCACAGTTCACCTGCAACTATTGTTAGGTGAGTGTGAATTGGTTAGGAAATCCTATATAGACATTGATTATCAGTAGCTCCCTGTCAGTACGGAAAAAGATACTCAGTGAGGTTCCACAGGTGCTGGTCCTACGCCCAGTTAACCACTCTGGATTTTCATTAAGGATGTGAATTACAGGATAGAAAAATGATTTTTAAGTGTTCAAATGATACAAGACTAGGAAGAGGAAAAAAGCATGTTGAAGGACAACTTCAGAATTCAAAACAATCTTGACAATTTCTAGAAACCACCTAAAAACCACAGGATGCTACTCAGTGCAAAAAGAAAGCAACGCATTGCATTTAGGCAGAACTAACTGGTGATCCCAGAATGGGGAACAGAATAGCTAGTTAACAGTTCTTCAGAAAAGAATTTAGAGATTAATGAAGATCATGAGCTTAAAATGAGTATGCAAGTTATGCTGAAACAAAGAATGTAGATGTCATACCTGAAAATACAAATAAAAGTACAACTTGTAAGAAAAGTAATCCTTCCATTTTATTGATCATTGGTATGAACTCAAATTTTAAAACTGCATCCAGCTGTGGGTGTTGCAGACAAGAAAGATATGGCAACAGTTCAGAGGAAAACAGTGTGAATGGCCAGCAGTCTAGAAAATATGAGGAACTATTGGAAAAGGTGTGATATTTCAGCTTGAGGAGAATGTGGGGAAAAACCAGGACAATGATCTTTCAATTAAAAAAAAAAAAGGCTGCAGGTTTTATGTTTTCTGCTAGTTTTTTTTTTTTCAGGGAAATTAGGCCATCTTTCAAAACACACCCATTCTGTCAGACACTTACTGGAATTACACTGTTTCCAGAAAATATTTCAATTTTTGTGAATCTTTTTTTTCTGAGAAAAGACATTCTATTTGAGAAACCAGCCACAAGCTGAGCTCAAAGTTGGAATGGTTTCAACCCACAAAGTCCAACTTAAAAACCAAAAACGTAGTGACTGTACGAATCACATGTATTTGAAGCAATGGTCAGGCTTCCAATGGACTTAGGAATTAGAACAGGAAGATAGGTCTTATTCAGTTACTTGAGCCTCCCCAGGATGCATTAAGAGTTCCTATTGCTGGAGGGTTTCAAGACACAACTGGACAGGGTGCTAAAATAATGTCACCTAGACTTCGTTTCCCATGAAAGGTTGTACCAGATGATCTTTCAAGATCCCTTCTAGCCTGGGATGTTTTATGATTCTAGTTACTTCTATTAATATCTTTTCTAATTTCAGAGATTCCCAGTTTGAGGATACAGATACATGCATGGAGAAACGGACCTTGTGGTAACGTATAAATCTGAAGCAAACACCAATGTGGCAGTCATGTACAAACAAACAGGGTGTCATTTTCAGTCAAGAGAACCAGAAGGTAGTTTTTAAAAAGAACACAAAAATATAGGCTGTTTTATCTAAGTGTAAATTGGAGGCAGCATTAAACTGAATTACATGTTCATGCCTCTTTTAAATCAACCCAATTTTAGTAACTAGGGATGCCATCCTACTCCAACACTTGTGGCCTGAGGCAGCATTACTGTCTCTTGTCAAAAACAAGCAAAAGGAAGTGAGGTCAAACCCAAAGAACCTTTTCTAGTGCAAAGGCAAATAAACGCTTCCTTTAAAATTGTGTTTTGTTTTTCATCTGGCTGAGTACTTTCAACTGTAGATAGAATGTCAACAGAGGAAAAAGGTCTGTGAATAATTATAGACTTCTTTGTCTTCTTATTTGCTGCTCCAAAAATTAAAATTGCAATAGTTTTAAAACTTTTAAAATTACAGTTGCAGATCAAATTTACATTGAAATATTGTGCCCTGTGATGAAACACAAATTGCCAAATATGGCTGTCTCAATGCTGATACAATGTAGCTTTATGATCTCATGACTTACCTTGTTCCTCATTGATGATGCCCATATTTGCATGTGCTTGTGCTTGTCTTTTCCCATCATCATTTTTTATCAGTTGAGCAGTGTTAAAGGATTGCTCATAAAAGTAATTGCTTAACCATTTATCCTCAGGGTCGCTGAAACAGTAGGCCAAGTTAAGCTGGTTATCGTACACCTCCTCATAGTGTCCTTTAAAAACAAAAATTACAATCAAAATGTTAATTTATCATCAGCTTTCAGAAATCTTACATATTACAGCAATAATAATATAATGAAAATTAAGAGTTATTTATATTTCCACTACTCAAATACCACCAAGTTATCCTACATGTCCAGTCAAAGAAATATCATAAGGGGAAAATTGTAACCTTACAAATTAGGCAGAATTGAAAACTTATTTTAGCAAAACCACAATAAATTGCTCTCATTTCTGCATGCAAAACCAAAATTCAGTTCAATAAAACATGCAAAACCTGGATAAGAGATTGGCTAGTCAAAAAAGAGAGACTAGAGTGAGTAAAAAAAGCACACAGTCACTGCTGGAGAAGCATTTGTTTGAGCCACCGAGACCTGAAAAGGCACCGAGAGCTTTCAAAACAGGTATAAAGTAGCAACTGCAGTGATGGAGACAACAAAACAAAGTATGTGGCAAACACAATCCATTAATTTGTGCCATTTAAAATATTCAAAGTTAGACTAGCAAGTAAGGCTTTCAGTTTTCATGTATTTTCCCATATTTAGTAGCTTACCTCTCTCAGAAATTAAGGACAATTTGAAATTTTACATCTTGCACTGAAAAAGACAGTTCACCAAGGTATTGTTCTCAGAACAAATGTGGAACGTAGAGGAGATTCAAAGTCACAGATCTCCTTTGTGATCTGACACATTTAGTTCCCATTCTTTATCATCTCAGAAAGCTAAATGGACACACACTATCCCTAAAATTTATAAAAACATTGCAAGTCCCAAATCTAAGTAGCATTACAAAATTATCAACAAATGTATTATTCACAATTTAAAATTACAGAATGAGAGCTTCTATGGAATTAGAATTATTTCTCTCAAAAAAGCACTTTCTAAAAAAATTCCGCAAAAATATCCTCTTTGGATTATTCCAAAACTGTAGAGTAGAGATCTAAAACTTGCCTGACAACTCTTATCATATTGCTTCTCCCTAAGGGAGATTTGAAACATATATTCCCTACATGATGCTGAAGAATCTATGAAATAATAAAGTACAGCATGAACCTATATGTTTCACAGCTAAATTTATCGCTGGCTAAACTAAATGAATTTTCTTTCCAAACTCTGCTTATGTCAGATGTGAATGGGAATAATTAACTAAAATTCCTTTGCAGTTTTCACTGGCTACTTATTGCACTTTAGGCTGTTAAAGGAACGTAAGCCAAACAGACAGTTCTTAGAATAATTTGGGCCAAGAAGAAGTTATGAACCACAAGTCTTGCAGCAGGAAAGAGACCGATGTGTGAACAGACCTGCTCTGCTCTCTGAGTTCTACAATTTGTAAGCTGTGCTCAACATAGAGAAGGGGGAAAAGAAAGAAAAAACCTCTCTTACTCCTAGGTATGGAGTACAACAGGGGAAAAAACCTGATTTCAATACAGGCAAGATCTCACTCAAAGTCCAGCTCTTTTCTAAGTGTTTTAAAACTATGATACCATATCAAAACACTTTGAACAAAAGATGCAGTTAAAGTCTCTTCGTTTGTTATCTGCAGGAAGAATTGGGGCAAATCCAACTTTCAAAAAGGACTAATTTCTCAATTGAAATTCTATCATCTATGTGAGTCACTTGCATTGTTTGGAACAAACAGCAGCAATTACTCAAAAAAGTACTTTGAATACATCACTAAACCACACAAGAGAGTCCTTCCTCAGCCTCATCTCTAGCATGTTTTGTCTCAAAAATAAAAATGACAAAATACGTACGGTCTAATAGGAAGCAATCTAAAGCTCTCGGTCTGTCTGTTGTCATAACTAAGTTCTTTGACTTCAGAACATCTTGGTAAAGCCCTTCAGTGTGTTGCACAACACAGTAAGAACTGTAAAGAACCCTGTTATCACCTAATAATGTCAGCCGTCTTCAAGAGGTTTAGCCAGTATTTGTTCTCCATTTTTTATCTATCTTGTCCATTTTGGAGAACCTTTGCTGAATCTTCCTTGCTTAAAATTTTCTGAAATCAAGCTGAAATGTCTTTTCCCCATTCTTGAACACTCTCTGGTTTAGTTTTTTTTATTTAAAAATTCATTCCACTTCTTCGATGGTAAACAATACTTGTTTGTTGGTTTTGCTTTTTTATTTATTATTTTGCTTTCCTATTTATTTTCCCAGGGTTTTTTTCTCCATGCAGTGGTACCTCATATTTCTATCTTTTAAATAATTCCCATTAAAATATATAAAATTATTATTTTTGAACCAGTTTGTGTTACATATGTTTCCATTTCAACTATTTTAAATAACACACCTTCAAGAAATGAGAATGTTTCACAATCTCTTTAGAATCACCAAAACAGAAATACACCAGAAATTACATCGAGATTATCATCTTATCATTTGTATCTAAGGTTTGATACCAAAAGATGCCAAAACATCAGCTTAAGTTTATAAATTTGACTTTGAGAGGAATAATTATCAACATATAGACTTCATGTATACCTAATCAGAACATTCTTAATGGCTGTGAGTTTTCCTGCCTTTTGTTTCCCCCCAAGAGGAAAAAGTACCTCATAGGTACTTCTTCTTCAGAATATCCAGGAGTGTACATCATATAAAACTTATTCATACATTAGAAATTAAGAATATTTTGGTACAATAGCCTCACAAAAATATCTGCAAATGATACTGGAATGGAAGTAACAACTGGTTTGGGCTTAATATACATATATCTACCTCTGTATGTGTACATATATATATGGAAGCACATCTATAGATAGATAGATAGATAGATAGATAGATAGATAGATAGATAGATAGATAGATAAAAAAAGTCAAGACACAGCCGGGATTCATTCAAACTAACCAATTTAGATATAGGTATGAGTTTTCTGGGATCACCTTACTCTCAATGAAGAAAAGCAGATACTTCTTGGCTGTGATTTATCTCACCCCAATTTACACATCTACTGCAGCACAAGGGAGCACTTTTAAAGATTATCTCAAAAGTAAAAGGCAGAGGTTCCCACGATGATTACATTACAAGTACATAAACAAATAACCACATGAACAGAGAAATATGAAACCTAATTATAACTATTAACATAAAGATAACAATGCACATTATATATAGATTACAGCTAAGTGAAAATGAACTTAGAAGATACCAGAGGATACATACAAATGGTTACAATAACACAGCAAGGGGCAAGATAATTGTGTTGTCATTGGAGAAGAACACAAGATACAGATTTGTTGCCTTTGAAATCTTTGCTACAAAGTATCAAGGCACTAATGCTACATAAAATTACGCAAATAACTTTAGGTAGTGCCCTACAAATCTCAAGAGATGGAACTGACCTGAGGCGGACTATTGCTACTGCCACAGCTTTGATTGAATGAACTTTAATGTGACCCTCTGATGACTATCCTGCTGGTGAATAACAATGAGAAGTGCACAAAGACAACCATTTCTCTGTAACTGTCTTGGACAGTGGCTGGCCAGATATGCTGGTCATAAAATAAACCCCAAACGATGTACTTAAAGGCTGTACTGTCTTCTGGATTCAAAATCTGACATACAAATCAAGAAATTCATTGAGATTATTCTGACAGTGGTAAAGCTACTATGTCAGACTTAGTAAAAGTGAACTTTTTATCTCCCCAGGAGAAGAAAAATATTAGAATAGGTAAATACTCTCTTCTATAAAATCTCCCAGAGGTAGTTCAGTCATTAAAGCTTTGACATCTCTGATTTTGTATAGTAAATTCTTTACAACTGATAACAGAATACATGTAGACAAAGTCATCTTTCTGTATCTGTTGATACAAAAAAAATTAAATTTCTGTAGCACTTGTCAGGGAGGGAACGATGGCACTGGAATGTGATACTGAATGAACAGAAAAAGAAGTCTGAATCACACAAGCAATTGTGAAATGGTTCTTGCAAGACAAATTCCTGTCTTTAAATAAGAAGCAAATAGGAAAGCACATAGATAAAGATTCAAAGGTTGATCCTATTAATCTTTCAAAAATTACATTAATTTCATAAAACATTGGAAGCTAAATTCAAGTCTTCCAGAACATTTAAGTCACAGGATTGTGAGAACACTGTAAAGATGAACATCTACACAAAATGGCAGCTACACACACAACAAACAGAACTTGATGGAGCAGATGGTGAGACCTGATAATTCACAGTTTTGGACTTAATTGAAGAGCTGAAGCAGGGCTAAGAACACATCTTATGGGCAATTATCCAACAGAGCATTTTTTCAATGCCAAATTACCAAATTGAAGGCAGCAATATTTCACAAAAATTAAGCAGAAAACAAATTAAAAGTCATGCTACGTTTCAGTATTTGTTTTATAATATTTTAAAATTTTAGTGGTTTTGTCACAGAATGCAAATTACAGAAAATTGATTTATTTCATTTTGTTTAATCTGAACTTTAAAAAATATTTTATTTTCATTGTTCTTTGCAATGGAAAACAACTTTGAAATTGGGTGTCTATGCACAAAAGTCAAGTATCCCTATCAAACCTTGTGGACATATTTTTGTTAAACAGAGATTTTAAGAAAATCCCTTCGATTTGAGCTTAAATATTAAACCCCATATATTAAACACATACAGTATTTCCTGCTCTGCATCAGGATCTCTTCAGGCACATCTCAACTGTCAAGTAGGCTCTTCCCTTGTTATGCTCAAGCCATAGCCCCTGACTGGCCCACTGAACAGAATCTTTGTTCCTGGGCTCTCCTCAGGAACCGTCCCCTTGGCAAGCAAAGGTGTGCATGGAACAGAGGATCATTCAGATCCATGGTCTGCATGTTCTGTTCAGCTAGGCAACTACTACGTAGTGCAATGCACAAGGATAGTGGGGTGGAGTTTGAGTATGACAATCCCAACAGAGCTAAGATGAGAGAAAAGAAACATATAGAAGATCTGCAAATGATGCCACTGTGATTTAAGTACAGCTGCTCCCACATCTGTATGAACTCCTTCATGACAGGA